CATAAACAGTACCAGGCAGGGATCAGGCAAAAAGGGGAAGTCAAGAGGCAGGCTTAAAGTCATGGACAGAATATCAGGCATGGGCTGTGAAAAAACACTGGACATCTGCTTGGTAAAACCGTTCAATAATCTGGCAAAGGCTGAGTGCAGGCATGGAGCTTAAATAGGAGACTGAACAGGTGAGACAGATGAGGCTGATTGCTGTGGCACAGAATGAGGAGGCATGGCATGAACAGGTGAGCTGAGCATTAGTGACAGGAGAGCAGAAAACAGATGGAGCAGCCAAAACATGACACAAATCAAGTAAAAATTTGTGTAATTTATGGACAATCTGTAAAACTTGAATGTTCACATCTAAAGTCCTCTGTCACTCCTTTATGCTTCGGTATTTGAAAGTTTATTGATGAGGCAGTGACAATCACATATAAAATAGAAGTAAGTTTCTAGGTATTAGGTGAAACACCTTGTAATTGTTATCCAGAAAGGTAGTTACAATTTACTTATTTGTTTACATTAAACCAGTAAGATTTTTATGATACTTTATCATTATCGGTCATTAAAAGGCAGCTAATCCTAATATACTTGTTATAAAATGTAATGATGATATAAGCAGATCCTACAATTTTGCTACAGTTTGCCACTTCACTGTATGTGCCACCATTATTTTCAGTAGTGATATTGGCTACATCCATCCATCCATCTTCTTCGGCTTATCCGGGGTCAGGTCGTGGGGGGCAACAGCCTGAGGAATCCCAAGATGTTTCCAGGCCAGCTGAGAAACATAGTCCCTCCAGTGTGTCATGGGTCTTCCACTGGACGGGACATGCCTGGAACACCTCACCAGGGAGGCGTCCAGGAGGTATCCTAACCAGATGCCAGAGCCACCTCAACTGGCTCCTCTCGATGTGGAGGAGCAGCGGCTCTACTCTGAGTCCCTCCTGGATGACCAAGCTTCTCACCCTATCTCTAAGGGAGAGCCCAGACACCCTGTGAAGGAAGATTATTTTGACCCTAGCTGTGTCAGTCTTCACTACAACAGATCGGTACAGTGCCCGCATCACTGCAGATGTAGCACCAATCAATCCGCCTATCAATCTCCCGTTCCATCCGTCCTTCATTCGTGTACAAGACCAAGTTGGCTTTTACAATGCACAGATTTTCTATAATAACAACAATAATAATAATAATAATCATAATAATAATAATAATAATAATAAACTGATTGTTTTTTTTCTTATTCTTTCAACTCCTTAAATCAGAACATCTAAAGTCAAACTGCTGGCTAAGCATTTCTACTGTGCCAATAGACAATGTTTTTAAACAAGAAAAAAAGTAACCTACATATTGAGTTGGCTGCCTCACTGTATTCTGTTTTTGTTGTGCAATAGCAAAACAGTTGCACCATTTTTTTCTGATCACTCAAACAAAATTTTGCATGAAAAGCTTTTGAACAAAAGCCAAAAGTAAACATACTTTTGCTCTCAAAGCAGTGTGACTGACCTGCAGGGGGGCTTGGTAATCACACCCACAATGATGTATTTTCTGACAGAACTGATATAACCGCTGTGTGAAAACGGTGACATGAGGTGAGCGTATATTTAAACCACTACGCAGTGCCACATTGCTCTAGAAGAAAAATGGCACCACAATTTTAAAACTGTCATTTTTTTTCTACCAAACTAAACATGGATGCCAAAAAGCAGGTTTTATTTACAAACAGAAACATTTATTAAAAAAAACAGCTTAGAAGTGGCATGAGATTCTGAACCAAGTTATGCTGGACTTAGTGGTGGGGAAAGAACTAGTGGTAAACACATTCTGTGCTCAGTCCTAATAAAGTCCTGAGCCATCCATAATTAAAAATCTATATATTTTACTTCTAGTGATTCCGATGTTCTTGTCATTTTTTTAAATAGGCTTCAGCAAGAAAGTCTGATTATGTTGAAACCATGAATAAAAAACAAGTGTTTTGAAGCTATCGCACAACACTTTATGCAGCATTAAAATAAAACTGATTACAAAAAACCCAGACTAGAGCAAACCAGCTGGCCCAGACCGAAACAAGATCAATAAGAAACCTGATTAAACAGTTCAACTAAGATTGGATTAACAATCAATTTACCTACCAGACTCAGAGTGGGAGAAGGAAAAAAAGAACAAAATGATACTCAGACTAACCCCTTGAAATTAGGCGTACACTAGACAATATCAAAAGAACCATGTGGGAACAAATCAGTTGATTTAGGCTAGATCAGTACGAACTGACTGATCCAAGACTAGGAGAAAAATGAGTTAAACAATGACCAAGTTAGGCAAATTGACCTTGCCGGACTGAAACAAGAATAGACAATTTACTCTGGGCCAAGTCTAGACAAGTCATCTGACTCTGAATATAACAGGTTCAGTGCACTCAGTTGCAAACTTTGTGGTCATAATCAGGTAATAAAAGTCATTTTAAATGTCTAATATGCAAACTATTTACACAGTAGCGCTCATGGCTAGGGTGTTTAAAAAGGTAGCTTGATGCTTCATGTGTATCTTATAAGGTCAAATACAGTCCTGTACCCATCACTGACACTAAGTGACATAGACAATCCAAAATTAAGATTTAACACTATTATTTTAAATGATTCACCTCATAAAGATTTAGACTTCTCATCAATTTTTATCTCAATCATCCCACAACAGTTTATAATGAAGATATCTCTGATTGGACTGAGAACCTTATTTTGTTACTTGATATCAAACTTCTTGTCCTGACAAGAGACAATGTCGGCAGTAAAAAGTAATGCGTTATCAGACTGGGGTCCCACAAGGATGTGTCCTCAGTCCTTTGCTCTTCACTTTGCTGATATATAAACAATGCACTGCAATATTCTGCACAAATCAACTCATTAAGTTTATAACTGACACATCATAATCTGATTTAATTGTCCTGCATCATGTCTGAGACACGGGAGAACAAAACATGTTCCTCTGACCAGTCTATTCATCCATTTTCTTTACGCACTTTTCTTTTAGTCCATCATGGGATCATGCTGTATAGTGACAAACGAGACAAATGAACCTTCACACTCTCACTCATGCCTAGGGACACTTTAGAGTTGTTAACCTAGCATGCATGTTTTGTGTACACAGTGTACATGTACTCACAGGAAGAACATGCAAACTCCACACAGAAAGGTCCCAGGCTGAGAGGTGACAGCTCTAACTACTGCACTTTGTTGTCCAGATCTTTAGGCTGCCTGAACAAAGGAGGGTGAACAGTTAATAATTTGGAAGTTTGGGGTCCATGATAATATTCTGCATCTTCTGGTGTAAATGCCCTGTAGTGAAGGAAGACTGCTGTTGGTCATTTTTGAACTGATCTAATCACACTTTTCAGCACCTTCTTATCAGCCTCGAAGCAGTTTCCAAACCAGACAGTGTTGGAAAATATCCAACACATTCTCACTCCCGAGTCGTCACATATTGACGTTTTTCAAAGGTCCCTTTGCGTYCAATTTTGACGCATCAGGTACCCCCCTCGCGTCAGTCCTTGCCGCCCGCGG